ACATCAAAATTCATCACTTGAGCTGAGATTTTTAATATTCTTCTATGGGCCATAATTTACCTCATGCTGAACTGCCTTCCAAGACTTAGATGTATTTCTTTCTTATATTCTTTTCCCAAAGTGTCCAAAAATATAAAGCAAATTCATGCCCAGTTAATTACTAATGGCCTGAAATCGCCTGCCGTCTTGGCCAAGTTAATTGAGCATTATTGTGGCTCACCAGACTCACACATTGCTAATAATGCACATTTAGTGTTCCAGTACTTTGACAAGCCAGACCTGTTTCTCTTTAACACTTTGATAAGATGTGTTAAACCCAATGATTCTATTATAATTTTCCGATATGAGTTTTCTCGGGGACTCATGTTTTTTGATGATTACACTTACAATTTTGTTCTTGGAGCCTGTGCTCGCTTTCCGTCAGCTTCAACGTTGTGGGTTGGTAGACAACTACATTCCCTGATAGTAAAACATGGGGTTGGGTCAAATATTTTGGTTTCGACTACGAAAATATACTTTTATTCTAGCAACAAAGATATTATCTCAGCCCGACAATTGTTTGATGAAATGTCAATGAGAAGCAGTATTACGTGGAATGCTATGATAACAGGTTATTCTTCCCTTAAAGAAGGGAAAAGACAATATGCTTTCAATGCATTGTCATTGTTTAAGGACATGTTGGTTGATGTATGTGGAATCAAACCAACAGATACAACTGTAGTTGCTGTCCTTTCAGCAGTTTCTCAGATGGGTTTGCTGGAAACTGGTGCTTGCGTACATGCATTTGCTGAAAAGACATTGTGTACTGAAGATGATGTGTTTATTGGGACTGGTCTTGTTGATATGTACTCAAAATGTGGATGCCTTGATAGTGCCTTGTCTGTCTTCTGGCGCATGAACCAGAAGAATATCTTGACTTGGACGGCAATGACTACTGGCCTAGCTATCCATGGGAAAGGAAAACAAGCCTTGGAGGTTTTATACAAGATGGTGGATTACGGCGTGAAGCCTAATGAAGCAACTTTTACTAGCTTTCTATCTGCTTGTTGTCATGGTGGGCTTGTCGAAGAAGGCCTTCAATTGTTCCATGAAATGAAGAGAACATTTAATGTGACACCTCAGATAAAACATTATGGTTGCATTGTTGACCTTCTTGGTCGTGCTGGAAAGTTAAAAGAAGCATATGAATTTATCATGCGGATGCCAATTGATCCTGATGATGTAATATGGAGGACTCTGCTAGGTGCATGCAAGATTCATGAAGATGTTGTGATGGGAGAGAAGGTGGGAAAATTTCTCCTCCAGTTGGAAGAATGTAGTCATCCAGAGTTGACTTCAAAGAGTGAAGACTATGTATCTCTGTCAAATGTTTATGCTTTAGCAGAAAGGTGGGTCGAAGTTGAATCTGTAAGGAAACAAATGAGAGCTAAGAGAATCTCGAATAACGCTGGTTGTAGCGCTGTTCAAATTGTCAGGTATGATACTAGTATAAGTGCGATTATTGACTTATTTCTCAGTTTTATTGCTTTATTAGTTACTGATTTTGCTTCAAAATTCACATGACAGTCTGTAGAACGAAGACCACAGAAAGAGAATTTTGAGGCTGAGCATTTGAGTAAACCAACAGAGATTAACTGTTGAGCGGGACAATAGTACATTTCCTTCCCGTAAGTCTAATCTTTTTGTCCAAGTATTTTCGAAGATGCCCTTGCAAAATGGAAGTGGCTGATCCTGTCCGATTAATCAGTGTCAAAAACAGTGCTGTTTGTGAAATCTTGAGCGTGCTGCGTGATCAGATTTCACAACAGGCTTCAAAGGCTGCATTGAAGCCGATCGTGGAGCTCTTTCCTTGGGGAAGAAACAGGATCAGAGGGGTTGAGGGCGGTGCAGTTTCGGTCCTCATTGAACTACTTGTTTGTGCCTCGGAAAGAAGAACTTGTGAACTCATTTTAATAGTTTTGGATCAACTTTGTGGGTGTGCGGAAGGGCGTGCAGACTTGTTGAATCATGGTGTAGGAGTGGTCATTATGTCCAAAAAAATTATAAGGGTCTCTCTCGTGGCAAGCAAGCGATAGAGGGGTTAGAATTTTGGCCTCCATTTGTAGGTATTCCGCCAATGCTAGAGCGCTCCATGAAATGTTTCAGGTTGGGGCTGTGTCCAAGTTCTGTTTGGTGCTTCAAGTGAATTGCGGCTTCAAGACTAAAGAGAGGGCCAAGGAGATTAGTCAAATTGCACTCCTCAGTTTGGAAGAATTCTTCATGTATTCTGTACCTTTGTTATCTTCCTTTCCGAGATCTAATTTGATCATAGTTTGTAAGCTTTTCATTTTTTTTTTGTGTGCATGCATCTGATGAAAGTGTCTGGTGCCAGAGGTTTTGTTTATACGGGTTGTAATGGACTTTTATCTTTCGTGGGCCTGATGACGGCCCAATCATACCTTAATAACAAGTATGGGTGGCCGCCCTGGTGGTTGACCCAAATGGGCGGTCTTGAGGACGACCTTAGGAGAGTCAGCCAAAGGGGAGTCAACCTTGGAAGAACCGTTCGATCTGAGTTAACCGCTCGGTCGGAGGATCGTACAATATATATATATATATATATATATATAT